CGGACTGAGCTCCAGTATGTAGAACTCCGCGCACTTAACACTTCTACTGTATTTTTTGGTCTGATATACATTTTTTAATAATATCAAGTAACAGGACAAACAAATCGTGCGCCTGAAGGTAAGCTACACGCCTGTCCATAACAGTTGCAGTGCCACTCAGAGCTTTAAATAGCAAAGATCTGAGGGACACTGCCACTGCGCCCGTGACCCTGACACATGAGTTGACAAGTTCCATGTGCCTGTAATTTCACTAGTACCCTTACCCTTCAGAACCGGAACATAGTATGCTGACAATACTGCTTGACGGCAGGAATAGGTAAGGTGGCAGTACTTCCCTAGACGAACTCTTTCACTATGGTTACTAATATTTACTGTGCCTGCCGAAGGGCAAGAATTAGGAACAGAGTACTGTTTGTCTGCTCTATACAGAGAATCGTATCACCATGATTTTCAGCTGTCTTTACAATTTGCCAAAGGTATGACGACGGTGTATGGTTAATTATAAATCAGATATTATTTTTTACTTTTTATCGTGTCGATGGCATACACTGCAATGCTTGCCATCGTGGAGAAAGAATTCGCCAAATGTGTTAAATTTGAATTACCTAAGGTAAAATCGACTGGTCCAAGCATTGAAATAAACGGAGAAAAGTTAGACCTTATTAATAAAGCAGTCTTCTTGGGAGTGACCTTAGATAGTAAACTTCAAAAGTTTCCACATACTTCTTCCCTGGCCTGCAGATTATGCTCCGCTGCATACGCAGTCCGCAGAATACGTGAGCTTACCGATGTTAGTACTGCTAGATTATTTTACTTTAGTTACTTCCATAGTTTAATGTCCTACGGTATTCTCATGTGGGGTAAAGAGGAAAACATTCAAAGCATATTTGCATTGCAAAAACGAGCAATTCGTTCTGTATACCGTTTAGGCTCTCGGGTTTCTCTTAGAAAAAAGGAGACTGGTATCATGACTGTGGCATCACAGTATATTTACTCAAACATTTTGTATGCCCATAAAAATATACATAATTGCAATAAGAAAGAAGATATCCATAATATTAACCTTAGATCTAAGTCCAAACTCATGGTACCACGATTTCGTTTACCAAGGTAAACGACTCTTTTGTGGGGAACTGTATACGTTTTTACAATAACATTTCGGAGCATATATTAAAATTATCATTTCCTTAGTTTAAAAACTACATTAAAAATATTTTTATTGAAAATTCATATTACAAAATTGAAGACTACGTGTTAGACAAAGATGTATAGGCATGTCGTCTTTCCGACATGCCTCCAGATTCCACACAAGTTTGATGCAAGGTGTATTTAGTCCATAGCATTTAAGTTTATTTGAAAAGAGCAATCCCTAGAGTTTCTTGCTCGTACTTCTCAGGGAAGTCAGTATAGCGAACAAGCAGTAGCTTAAAAGTCGCTTAATATGATGTTTTCAAGTGTAAATTTATTTTACCTATGTAATGATTCTTACTTTGACTTTGAATCGGCGTAAGGTACTCGCCGATTACTGCCCAGGACGCGTCAGACTACAGGAAATGTACATCACGTAGGTACGTTATGCGGTGAGACTCCTTATTCATTAATGATAAATATATCGATAATACTTATGACAGCACTAGCAATGGAAAGGCCTGGTTATACCAAATTTGGCATAAAATTTGGGTCTAAACAACTAATGACAGTTACCCTTGTTTTCAAAACGGACTGAAGCAAACGGAACGAAAACAAACTACTTCAATATTACCATTTAAGTTTACGTTCAGACTAGTGACGTCATACTTTACACTTTAGCACAACGATGATGAATGGTAGAGAGGAAATTACTTCGTGAAGTGCACCTTAGCGGCGTTGATAAAGATTTATGATTTAGAACGAGGTAAGTATAGTTACGAGACAATACTAAATGCATCGGGGATGATATGTATAATATGATTATAACAGTTACTCAGGTGACCATATATAAATAAAAAAATACAAAAAACGACGAGACTGCATGATCTAAAGATAATAGCTTTTCCGCAAGGTACAGTACGACACATAACATCAATATTTTCAATAATTCGATTGTATTTTTTTACTTAATTAGTTTTTCTTTTTAGTAATATAATAATTATAAATAGTAAGCGGAAGACCCCTGGGTGAAAGCAAAATGAAAGTTAATTCCCCTACTATGGATAAATATCACTGTCAAACACTCAATATTATCTGCCTGCCCAGCTCATTCACAATATGTATAGACTATCGCGTCTGCTCACGGTATTACGGTACTGATACTCTTTGACAAAATTCAACACTAAACAAAACACTATCACTATAGATAATGTTTTGTTTGGAACCTGTGTTTGGAACTGTTTGTAACGTGTAGTTGCTGTGAATGTCAAGAACATTCTATAGATTGAAATCGTTGTACAATGGTAAGCTGTTTTTTTTTAAATGGTGGTCCCGGTAAAAAAAAATTAATGGAGTGTTGGAGAGCTCCGGTCTGGCAAACAAGCCGGTTAGAATCCAGCCGAATAGAAGGCATTTTTATAATATGAAATTTACTGAATATCACAATGTTTTAGAGCGACATACATACAGCAACTTTTAGCAGCAGCGATTCAAACGCGATGCAAGCGCGCGGCTGTAAATCCCATTACCATCGCCATTAAATCTCAAGTGTAGCGATGCAATCGCGCGTTTACATCGCTGCTGTCGCTGCCGTGTGTAACCACTCTTACTGCCGTGACATTCAAATATTTTTTCGGGACGAACAAGTCATGCACCTGATGGTAAGGTACACGCCTGTCCATTACACTTGCAGTGTCATTCAAGAGCTATAAATCGCAAAGATCTGAGGGCCTTTGCCACTGCGCCCGTCACCCTGCGACATAAGTTCCATGTGCCTTTAATTTCATCCGTACATTGAGAACCTCCTCCTTTTTTAATTCGGTTAAGAATATTGCAGTACTAAAAGCAAAACGATTTTCGTGTAAACAACTCACTGTTTTAATAATAAAATGTGGAGGAAAGAAACAATATTTACCTTCATTTTTTATAAAAAAAAAAAAAACATCCGAAATTACTTTTAAAACCTAATAAATATCTTCGTATTATTTAAAACGTCGGACTTTCATGCAATTTTCATTCATAAATTCTTCGTAAAAGGCCGACCAGCAATATATTATGGAAATTAGACTTCAAGAATTAATTTTGAACGTGGTTTGTAGTAGAGTCACCATTATATTAGGATTATTTAAGACTCATGAACATTTTTTAAATTTATATAGCACTAAGACTTTCGCGATAGCTACACATTGGAAATGCAACTACTTTTTCAGTATTTGTTTTTCGGAACACCAACTTTTCAGTTCTCATATTTATGTATTCTATTTTGCAAAACGTATAGTGTTAATTGTCATGTTGATAATATGGTATTTAAACTTTTGCAATTATAGTTCATAGTAGGGTTTGCATTAATATTAGACACTGGATGTCATCATCTCAGTCAGCCGTGACCACGGGACCTGAAGGGCCCGAAGTTTTACAAATGACTATTGAACTAAATTTTTTTTCGATTTAAAACGCATTTTTCGAGTCATCTGCTACATGTATAATTGCTTAAAAGTGTGTTTTTGTGCAGGTGTATGTAAACGGTGGGTATGTATATATTTAAAGGTAAATAGGTTTATTATCTAATTAAAATTTTACAGCATAGTATAAGAGCAAGTAGGGCAATTCCCGCCTATTGGGCACGTAAATTCCTCACACGGAGAATAGGGTTGTTACAATATTAATTGTACCTACAGGTTGTAAACATAATTTGAAAAATTTAAGGTGTTAATCGAAAATACTGTATTCTCGTACTATGTTTAAACAACTTGTTAAATGCGGTATGTTCTTACGTATTGATATTTCTATACCAGCATCGCGGGTTGGTGTCTTGATATATTATGAAGTATGATTATAAAATAGATACAAAATGCTGAACAATTCTGAATTTGAGGCACTCTTGTGTAAACTATCACGAAAACAACAATAAACATGTCTACTACTTGATGTCAAAAACATCCAACGACCGCTTCAATTCCGTAAAGCGCAGGCCACTTAGGTTAGCTCACGTAGTTGCATGCAAAATTAAGCTAAGAAAGTACGTAGTAAGTAGTGACTATGGATACGTGTGGAGGTCAAAGGCGACGGAAGGACGATATATTTTACATTGTTAGCGGGATCGTTGGGTTAGTTTACTTACCTCGGTTAGCTTAGTTCGCGATGTGAACCGAAGTATGAAAAGATGACCCGGCTATGTGACCTAAGCTAAGTCAGCTTAGCTTTGACCGCGGTGTGGCCTGCACATAATTGATGCAGCGTAAGACGACCCGTGCTTTGCAACGCGAGTGCACCGCAAGATGATGGTAATGTGTGTGTCCGTACACGGCGTGCGGGGGCATGCACACATACAAGCCGTGCTGCCACGTTTGTGTGGAGTTACCATACTTGCCTTATTATATATACATAGTTTATTGTAACTAATAAAAAAATACATAAAATATGCTAAAATTTGAAACAAAAAGTAGTAATAATAAATAACGCACACACTCAACATAGCCCCGCACTAGGGAAACCCTGTGTCGCGGGTGCCATGGACAAAGATTAAGACTTAAGAAAAAATAATTACCGAACAGTTGAAACCATACTTTCGTATGAAGCGCTTTGTTTCTTCCTTCTTAATGCACATGCCATAGGAATAGAATAAACAGGCTAAGGTTGGAGTGAGTGGTAATTTTTTAAACAAACATGTACCATTGTCGCTTAAAATCAGGTGAAATTCTAGCCAAGCGTCAGTTTATGTTTCATTAAAAAATGCTTCAAAAATATCGTCACCAACACAACTGACACGAAGTTGAAATGTCCCAGCTTTTCTGATTATCATGGAGCCTGTACTCATGGGCTTTGCAAGATAAAGTATTGTAATAAGAACTCTATAAGAAGAAAGTACTTACGGAAACGCAATTTTTCACCCTCTGCTCGATGGTACCTGAGAAAATAAAAAATATTTTTAAACGTGGTTGAATAAGGAAATTAGGTTATTTGAGAACGCGTACCATAGCTTAATATCGTGCGTTTATTTTGGTGAAGTCAGTAACTGATGAAAAAATATATAACCCATTATATTCAACCGGAATATACATTCAGGTTCTTCGTATGTCATCACGGATTATAGTTATGTCTCAGGGTGACGGGCACAGTGGCAATGCCTCTCAGATCTTTGCGATTTAAAGCTCTGAGTGGCACTGCAACTGTCATGAACAGGCGTGTAGCTTACCATAAGGCGCATGATTTGTCCCGTTCCGTCCCTTGACATTATAAAAAAAAAATAAGAAAACAGATAAATCTTTATCTGTCATGGCCCACAATCACGGATTTGTGTACAAAGACTATATTGGTTTTAAATTATGTAGTTATAAACCATTTTTTATTTTATGTAAAAAATATTGAAAATCTACACACACACTTAACATAGACTCGCACTAGGGAATCCCTGTGTCGCAGGTGCCATGGATACACACATAGACAGCCACAAATTACACCCAAACTCACGATAGAAATAAGTGTAAGCCATACAAATATTTCACCCGGCCCGGGAATCGAACTTGGGACCTCTGCGTGGCAGTCCGGCATGGTAACCGTTCGACCACGGAGGCAGTTTACGGAGTCTACGGAGGTGATATATAATAAGACTATAAAGATTTTAAATTAAACATATTTTTAATTGTATAAAAATTCTAATTAGGTTATTATCAGACTTTCTATCAAAATAAATATCGCCACACCCGTGCACGAACTCTGCGTGGTCAGTTGTAGTAGGGACCGATATTGTTCTCTAGATGATCAACAATAAATACAAAACAAACAAATATATTGCACGAATGTACATATTTTTTAATAAAAATACATTTTTATAATAAATTTTTTAATTTAGATTTATATTTTTACAAGACCTGTGGAATAAAAAAAATTATAGTAATGTTTGCATAGTAGCATGTATATATATATATATATATATATGCTACACGTAACAACAACGTAACAGATACACATCCTCAACGAGTCTTGTATCTTCTTACTTTATTAATAAAGTTTATACTTTTATCATCTATCAATTTAAACAATTAGGCGTCAATACTATAGCGTAGTATTGGCCCCTACATCGTTTTTATATATATATATATATATATATATATATATAGAATAGAATAAACAATAAAAAAAGAACTTTAATTATTATACAATCTTCATGAAGCTATACAGTTTAATCTTAGCACCTAATAGTGTATTTCACAATTAATGGAATGAATCTTCCATTAATTGTGAAATCAGTTTCTACCAGAGTTCCCGCGCTTAAAAAGGGAGAGATGGCTCGTCATTAGGAGAGGTCTATATCTAGCAGTGGACCGCAATAGGCTGATAATGATGATGAAAAAAATCTAAAATACAGGAACCAAGCGGTCATAATTTCTTCTGAAGTAAATATTGCGTACATTTTGTATAAATTTCTATCAATCGAGTGAGCAACAGTCTCTGATTCGTGTTAATGTGATTATTTGGTGAGTACATAATGTACATAATAAAAATGAATTGGTAATGTCATCCAGACTCAACATTGCGGTAAAATTAACCAGATGCCAATCAACTCTGATCACCCGGCTAATTGTTGGGTTTAATTAATAAATTTAAATATATAACCCCCTAAATTCCATTGGGTCTTACAACGGCTACAAATAATAATTTCAATTAATTTGTAGAGCAATGTGTTGAAATTTGTTTTAATTGAGCATATTTCGGAATAACAGAGGGCTAAAAGTTACTTGGTTTCATATACTAAACATGCCATGTTATTTGACTACGAAGTCAAATAACATGGCATGTTTAGTATATGAAACCAAGTAACTTACATATACGATTATTAGTACATATACGAATATGTACTAATATCATGTTATGTTCACTACCCTGACAGTCATCTATTTTTCACTAGGTTCGCGGAGTAGGAATAGTTAATACTAATTGCAGAGGCCGGGAATTAAGAATATGAGTTGTTTTAATACGAGTCAAGCAATCACCGTTCCCGCGGAGGCTTAGATAGTGCTTTTCTGAAACAATGCAAGTAAATAATAAAAGACGAAAGAGAGGAAGATGTATAACAGAAAAAGTAAGAATAAAAACATTAATTAATATTAAAAGTAATATTTGACATAATATAAACGCAAATTATGATAGATGAAATCTGTGTCCCTGTGCCAACATGCTCAAGAAGGTAGAAACAGTATTGCAATGATATTTAAAGGTAAAACGCGAAATGGGTTCCTGCACATGTTCAACTATGTAAGCCATTAGAAAGCATCCACCCGCAATGGCGGCGTTCCCTGTTGGCTATCAGTGTTGTCAATATTTATTGCCTGTCTGTGACGTCACTAATTGCACCATTGTATATACAATGTTGGTAAGAACAACGAATACAAATGGGTGTTTGGGTGTTTATTATGATGCTAGAATTTGTTTATAATACAGCATTAGCTTAAGGATAAAGATAAATAATGTAAGGTACCTATTTAAAAGTTGAATGCTTAGAAGTAAAATGAAAAAAAAAAAGTCTTTAACGAGCTCCGAGGTTTTCGCGATTCAAAGTCAAAGTGAAGTCATTTATTCCATAAGTAAAATTTTTACACTTGATAACTTCATTTTTAACCTACCTTTAAAGCTACTGCTTGTTCACTTTGTTGTTGTCACTATGCTGACCTCCCTGAGAAGAACGAGCAAGAAACTGTAGGGATTGCTCTTTTCAAATAACCTTAAATTCTGTGAAATACACTTTGAATCATAATTGTGTGGAATTTAGACTCTTGTTGTCTTTCCACACTTCTTTATCTGAAACATATTCTTCAATTTTGTAATATGACTTTTCAATAAAATGCTTTTCATGTAAGTTTTAAACTTACGAAATTATAATCTTGATATATTCTCCGGAATCTTATTGTAAAAGAACCATTTATCTTAGTTAAACTAAATCATGGTACCATGAGTTTAGACTTAGTTCTAAGGTTAATATTATGCATATGTTCTTTCATAATGAAATTATGTATATTTTTACGGGCATACAAAATATTTGAGTAAATGTACTGTGATGCCACAGTCATGATACCAGTCTCCTTAAACTTTTCTCCGAGAACCTAAACGGTACACAGAACGAATCGCTCGTTATTGCTTCACAAGTATGGTTTGTATATCTGCCGATTTACTCCATATGAGAATCCCGTAGGACATTATACTATGGAAGTAACTAAAGTAAACACATAGGAAATGAGACTATTTTTGTTCAGATGTAAATCGCATATATTTGCTTTTTTATACAAGCCAACGTTTGGTTGGGGCCCTTTACAGGTCCCTTGAAAAAATTAACGTTTTAACTTGTTTATACATATATGAATCTATACTACCTCAATTGGCTTTGGTTGATTCCACATGACAGTAAAATTGAATCAATTAGCTTGAAAAAAAAAATAGTAAAATTGAGGATGCACACTGATTACTATACACGAAGAAATCACGATTCCTAACAATTTTCATGATAGACAAAAAAAACACAAACTTACCTCAAAATTTTACAAGAAAACTGCTGGATTCAATAGGTACTATACATACACCAATGGTTTTTTTTATATCGACTGAACTAAACAAAAAACGTATACTACACGATATACAATTTCCAAATGGCTTTAATTTGTCCTGTCAGTATCCCTAACCCTTGACCTAAGCAAAATGAACCTAATTAGTAGCGGAAAATATGTTTAACCGCTCACGCGATGCGCTCCTCCTACCGCAAAAATTTGATTTCGCAAAATAGAAAAGGATTCAGTTTGAATACAAGTTTTTATAAATAAAAATTATTATTCTGCATTGCTAAATAAATATCCTCCGTACTACCAACAAAAACATTTCAAATAAAGTGCAGTAATACACCGCAAATCCTGCACTTTAAAAGCACTAATGAAATTTTTGGTGTACTTGGATAAATATGATAGTATTCCGCTTGAGTGGTTCTAACGTTTACCATGAAATTACTCCTTTAAGTATAGTTTATAAACATTTATATTCAGGGTAAACTTAAAAAATGCTACTTACGGTATGTTTTCAATAAATAAACACCGAAATCACCAGCTCAAACAATAACACACACGATTGTCGTGACGTGTTTTTGAAGTTGTTTATTTTTTTAAATGACAGATTCAGGATTAAAAATTTTATAGTTTGCTAGAGTAGTTACCGAAATAGCAAGTAATATTAGTTCTTTTACCTGTTATAACTTCGATCGAACAGCTGTTCCGGTTGGCTGCTGATAGAGACAAATACATTCCTGTTCTGATGCTAACAGCTAATCAGGATCCAAGAGGCACTCTAAGAAGAGAAGAATGAATAATATAATGTTTTACTATCGTGATATTAGTTTATTTTTTTGTGCAATTATTCCACCAGTCTGTTGTAATTATTAAACAAAGATGGACTATAGAGAAAAAATCTTGGATCTCACGGGTCTCGAATCTACCGTCTGTGCCATACCAGGACGGCCGATTTACCAACTGAGCTACAGATTGAGTCGGCAAACATTACGAATTTTTAAAGAAAAACAAACGCATAAGCGTTTGTTACAGATCTTTGTTTATGGTTTTTAAAGTAACATATATATTAGACTTGGTTATCACAATTCAATCCATTAATGGAGCTAAATAAACTTTAAAGCAGGGACCGTAAGAGTTATCTTGCTTGATGATTTGTTTATTTTTGATTACCGGCATGGAAGCTTTATAGAGTTGCATTGTAAATTCTGCTCTATGTGCATGCAATGTACGTTCAATTTTGTACACGCTGAAACCACTACAATGGTTACATGTTTCTGTCCCTGCTTTAAAGTGTACAGGAATTCCTCGATTAATCTTTGTGTGCACAGTACAGAGTAACACACGTTCCTGTGGTGTACAC